CTATCAGCCATGGTGTCCTTCTGGACAGATTGGCTGGGATGGGAATGGGAGGCACCATTTTGCAGTGGATCCGCTCCTACCTGGCTGATTGGGTCCAGAGGGTGGTGCTAGGGGACAGTAGCTCTGATCCACAGCAGTTGCGTCATCGGGTTCCTCAGGGCTCTATACTGGCCCCTATGCTATTCACTATCTACATAAAACCACTGGGGAAGGTCGTTAGGAGGTTTGGGCTGAGGAGTCAGCAGTATGCTGACGACACCCAGCTTTACCTCTCATTCTCTACCAATCCAAGTGTGGCAGTCGCCGTTCTGAACTTGTGCCTGGGACTGGATGAGGGTCAATAAACTGAGGCTCAATCCAGACAAGGGCTGCTGGTAGGTGCTTCACCAGATAGGTTAAATGGCCATTTTCCTGCCTTAGACGGGGTTACACTTCCCCTAAAGGCAGCTTGGAGGTGCACCTTGACTCGGGTCTGACCATGAAAGCCCAGGTGGGCTCTGTGTCCAGGGGTGCCTTCTTACAGCTTCAGATAATATATCAACTTCGCCCTTACCTGAATGAGTGGAGCCTGGCAACAGTCACACATGCATTGGTAACAACTGCAGTGCGCTATACATGGGGCAGCGTTTGAAGACGGTCCGGCGACTGCAGCTGGGATAGAACTGGGCTGCGCGGCTGATAAGTGCTGCTGCTGCATGGACTCATATCACGCCGGTTCTGAAAAATTTACACTGGCTGCTGGTTGCTGCTTGGGCCCAATTCAAAGTGAGTTGTAGGAGTGGGCCTAGCTTCTAAAACCCCTTCCCTATTCATATAAAACTCAAAGTACAGGAAAATGGTGCATGTCATGTGGTGGTATATTTCTAGAGAATGTGATCTGTCTCTTTCTTTGTGATGTCTGAAAAACACCCTCAACATAATCTTCCCCATTTGCATTAATTGGAATTCTGGTACTAATTTTTTGCCATTGGATAGCACAGTCAGCTCTCTAAATTTGCAAGACTGTGGGGCTATGTACCTGAGAGATCTTCCTTCTAGCAACAGTATTATAATAAGTCCCATAATGTTTAAATATATATAGTGGATTTCTCTTCAAGGCACAATTTTCTGTTGCAAATAAGGAGCAGGATGAGCTTGGAAATATTACATTTTGGAGGATTCTGATAATGGTTAGAGATTGGCACAAACCTCGATTTGGAGGTTCATGCTGGTTCATCAGTACGGCACCACAGGGGCCTCATGTTTCCTTCCCCCACCTTCCTGGCTGGATTCCCCCAGTCACCAGCTGGTGCACACTCATTCTCTTTGACTGTTCAGCCAGTCCCCAGCAGGAGCATGGGCTTCCCTGCCCCACCTCCTCAGACAAGGGTGAAGGACAGTCATGTTCCTATTGGGCACTGGCTGAACAGCCAAAGAGGTGAAGGAGAGGAGGAGTGTACTCTGGCTGGTGAGTGGGGCATCGGCTGGAGAGGTGGGGGAAGATAACGTGTGGCATCTGTGGTGCTATATTTACAAACCAACACGAACCTACAAACCAAGATTCATGCCCATCTCTAATAGTGAAAGTACAAAAATATAAGATGTCTAAGCTCTAGAAGTGAGGACTCTTCTATCTTAAAAATGCAAAAATTCCTTTTGGAACCTGTGCCCTAATGTAAGGAAGCCAATGAGTAAACACATTTTCCCCCTATAGGTTCTGCCTCCAACTTTCCTACCTATCTTCTTTCTCTCTTATACTGAATATTAGATTGTACATTTATCAGAGCAGGGACCTGCCTTTTTGGACAACACCATGCTCAGCCGTGGTACTTTTAAAATAAAAATTAATGTCTAATACAGCAATGGTAATTTTTAAAAGGATTCCTGGTTTCATTATGCAGTTCTTCCATAGTTGGTTTCTTTGTCCCATTCATCTGACTTACGCTGCTCCCTTGGTGCATTTTTTTAGACTAGTACTTAATGGATTTTCACGATATCTTTGTTGTTCCCCTCATTACCACTGCATCTTTATTTAAAATTTTGTTGTTGTTGTTGTTGCCAGAAGTATTGTGTGACTCAAAAGCCTAACTAGGAATATTTTAATAAATAACCCAATGAACAAACTCTACTTAGTAGTAGAGGACAAGGCAGAATTTTTCATCTGGGTTCCATATGAAGCTTCACAAAAGAAATAAAAGGGCTTTGGCACTGACTTTCACAGGGAGATGTTTATATCTGCCTTCAGAGAGGAATTTTATTTCTGTGAAGTAGGAATTAAACATTGAAGCTTCCCACTGAATGCCATGCATGTTTTGACTAAATCCCAGATTACACGAGAAATGGCTAAAGAGAGAGAGAGAGAGATGTAACAAAGAACAGTTCCAATAACCTCAAGGTATTCAAGAGAAGGTGGAAGACTAGGGTGTAAAATAAATCAGTTTAGCTGACAGCATCTAAACATGCTGCTGAGATTAGACTTGAAGCTGCTTCCGTATGCTTTGGAACAGCTTGACTGGCTATTATCACCCGAGCCCTTTGATTCCGCTAAATCACCAGAGACACAAGATCATCCCGTTTAATGCTATCTCTTGTTCCCCTGCGCTGAGGAGCCTCTGAAGAAAGTGACACCACTTTTCAAGAAATATTTCACATTTCTCAAGGAACCTGGATATGTGACCCTTCCCCTTTTATCTGTTACTCAGGGCTAAACTAAATGAAATGCTTCCTCAAGGAAGGCTGAAGTTCCTTTTTTTTCTCCCACACCACACTAGTAAAATCGGTGTCTTACAGAATTTTCTCTGAATGTTCTACACCATGGGGGGGGGGTGTTTGACCACCTTCCCCCCTCTCTGTTCTATGCATCTGAAACAGCTCTAGGTTCACTGGGGCTCTCCTGCATAATTTCATCACAAGAAAATATTTATGCACGACAGACAACTGCTAAAGCTACGGGAATCCCATATGCCAGAGAAGGCCGTCACTCCTGTTTATGGTGGTAAAACAAAGGGCATGCACATACATATACAGTATTAGCAGAAATCCAGTACTGTAGTAAGTTGTAACTATAGTAGGCCCATTGAATCAGTGGAGCTGACTCAACAAATCCCCACTAATTCAGTGGGTCTATTCTAGTTGCAGTACTAGATATCAGCCAAGGTTTGCCAAAGGGTTTTGGAAATGTTTTTGAGGCACTTACAATGGGCCTTTGTAAAGGATGATGGCACTCTGGTGGTTCCTCTTCCACACCAATTCCAAAGGAGAACAGCAAGTGATCTCTTGGGACCCGGGGTGTTTAACACTAATCTACAGGAACTGAGCTTACATTTAAATTGATAGATGTGGACAACTATTGCATTCATTATTGGGCCTTCTCCTCCTCACGCACACCTTAAAGTAATGAGGGGACTGAGTGTGTCAGGGAAGCTGAGACCAATATGGGCAGGAGGGTAGACTCCATTACTAGTGTGGATTCCTAGCAGGATCACTCCCAGAAGGAAATCTGCACAGCAGCAAAAGGAAAGTCCGGTGCTGTATAGTGCATATAATTGGACATGGAATATGAGAAGTATGAATCTAAGTAAACTTTAAATTTTAAAGCAAGAAGTGGGAACTTTTAAATATTGCAGTACTTGAGGGTGAGTGAACTAAAGTGGACTGGAATAAGACATTTTTGTTAAGGTCATGGTAAAGTAGTTTACCCTAGAAGTGGCAATCTGGGAAGAAATAATATTGCTCTGTAAGTGGGCTGAGACATCGCACAAGACATTAGGGGCTGTAAGTAATACTGACCAAGTAATATCAACCAAATTTAATGGAAAGGCCAGTAACAGAATCATCATTCAGTTCTATGCTCCGTCTAGAAGAACATTCTGAAGTTGTTGAAAAAGATTTTTTAAGTGTTTATGCAAGTGTCCAGAAGGACATTGATCACACACTGAAGCAAGATGCATTGATAGTCAAGATTGGAAGGCAAACGATGCAAAGCAGAACCACACATTGTGGGAGAATTTGGAATAGAAGTCAGAAATGAAGAAGGAAAGTCATTCCTAGAATATTGTGGAGCCTTTTTTTTTTGCAAAGACATGTTTCATTTGTACATGTGCACGTCACTGGATCGCTGATGTGAATTCAAATTGTATAGCAATGAACAGAAGATAGAGAAGCACTATTCTGTCAGCCCAAATAAGATAAGGAACAGACTCTGGTACAGACCATGAACTAACAATACTCATCTCATAGGCACCCTTGTGGAGCCAGGGACTATGGTAACATGCTCTGAATTGAGGAGTGTCCTCTCCAGAGCATGAAGCCTGGGTAAAGTAATATGGAGGATAGGCTGTTATCCAAGCAGCAGATCCCCCCTCTCCACGTTGCTGAAATGGTCCAATGGAAAGGCAAGAGCCAATACAACTGGTTCCAGCAATGTCGCAGGAGTTGGCAAAACGACACGAACTGCCTTCGGGACTCCAGCTCCGGATTTTGCCTTTAGGTTAACTCCTGAAGCTTTTTCCATGAGTGGATATAGCCACAAGGCAATGGAGGTTTGAAATCGGAGTTTTCCTTCTCCTAGATGGGCTGCCTTCCATGGCTGACGATACTAACAATTAGACTAACAATACTAACAATTAGAATAAAGCTGAAGAACACTAAAGCAATTTTTACAGCAGAGCCCTAAAACAACATAAGCCAAATTACTGCATTCAAATGTAACATAAATCCAAGAGCCAGTTAATGTTTAGTATGAAACTGATATCTCATTCAACGTTTCATTTTGTTTCCATATGTCTGGCAAAGGGGACATGTCAACAAAAGTTCACATCAAAATATTATAGTTAGTCTTTAAGGTGCCACTTGTTTTTGAGTTTTTTTCTTTTGTCTTGTTTCTTTGGATTTTGCCTATTTTCAATGTGCTATTTTTATAAACTGATATCGTATCACTGATATAAAGAAAAGAGAAATAACACCATTGCACAAGACAAGAAGTTCCAAAAAAGTCATTTTATTGGACTGATGCTTCTTTAGCATGTGGCACATACAGAGAAAATTAAGACACAAGGTGTGGTGAGGAATAGAACAAATTGGTCTCTCACTGAACAAAATTTCCCTGCAAAGTTTTATGAACAAGTCTGGAAAGTTTTTAGATCAGTGTGTGAGAACTCAGAACATTCACACAGAACGTGGTGAAAGACTGAGATTGAATTTGAGGTTATTTTTCTTTTTCTGTTTCATTTTTGGGCTCAAGGCTCAAATAACATGGTTGAACCTAAATATACAGTGGCAGCTTGAGGGTAATTCTGCCATGCCAGGTAATACTGTTTCAAGTCAAAATTTGAATTATTTTTAAATGTTCATTGGAAGCAGCAGCAACATAGATGAGATGAAAAGCATAACAAACCTATTGGCAAAAAGCTTGCCAAAGGTATTGGTTGTAGTTTATCTCATAGTTAAAACCCATGGAATTCAGCATACTCATGGGTAACCATGGAAATGATCATAGTTTGCTTTTCTTGCTCAGAAAATACCTGCTTTGATGGTACCTGTACTTTGGCCACTACCCACTCAAATAATAATCAGCATTTGCAAGCCTCATAGCATTGACAATGTACACAAGGACTATTGTGCAAGAGCCACTAGATGCTGCATCACAGCATGGAGCTTTTCAGGATTCTGGGAGCTGTAGCCCAATAAATTAAATCCTAGTTCTGTGCTGGATATCATCCCCTCAGCAGCATCTTTTTGTCTTTGAAGAATCAGATCTAGCAAGGAAGTCTTTATGTTTTCTAGGCATTTAATCAATGCTTGGAAATTATGAGAAACCTAAGCACCGCCTCAGTTCCTACTGAAATCAATAGGATGGAAAACTCCTAGTACAATTCAGTTCCATTGACTTCAGTCTATGCTAGTTTGGTCAGCTCTTCCTGAATAGTGTTCATTGTTCCCAAAATTGAGTATTGACTCCAGGATAAAGAAGAGATTTATGTAGTGGAATGAAGAGCCAATAGCAAAAATCTATTACAGTACAGTACTTTTATTTGGGATCTGCAGTTTTGGTTTATTAGAATTGTTGGAGGAAATCGCTTCATATGGAAATAACAAGTCCAGTAGCTCCAGCAGATCCATACATGCTCATTTAACTCTAGCATTGTCCACATTTAGTTGTTCTAGCTCAATGCTGAGCCATGCTATATTTGTTACCCAGAGTATGATAGTGCTAGCATGAATGGAACTCAGAGATTAGGAAAGTTGTTCCCCCCACTCCAAGAACAGTTGGAATCCCCTAGCCACCATGGGACCTTGTTGACTGTGGAACTGTGGGAATTATAGTCCATAAATATGACTCTTCAAAGCTTTCTATCACATCCACACCCCTGCTCATGTGATTGCGATCTTCAATATATACTAACAATGGGCAGAAGCAGTTACAGTATGTCACAGACGTTCCCATGTCTTTAAAGGTAAAGTATGTGCCAGGCTCAAGGTGAAGTAGATTTAGTATCATGTGGCTTTTATTATTCATTCTGAAACAAAGCACTTGCTAAGGTTTTCAGCACGAGCTCATTGCAATCGTGCTATTTGGCTATGGAGGGAATGCACAGTAGTGCATGTCTCCTGAGAGAAACTGAGGAGAATTTTTAGAAAGGTAGTCTAAGATTAGGAAATAAAAACAAGCCTAATACCCAAATTCCCAGAGATCATCCTGTGACCTTGTATAACTTGAGAGGGTGTTGTAGGTGGACACAGCACTTCATAAAAATGAGCTTTAGATACAAGAGCACAAGAGGAATTAACTGTCAAAAGGCAAACACTTTGTAGGTTATGCAAGCGATGCAAATGGAATCAGCATAGGATTCCCTGTAGTGCTGACATGCCATTATTAGCACCCACCAGATCAAACCAAGATAGATGCTGTGTGACAACCTTGTGATTTGAGTTGGTTGGAAATAATTCTTTTCAGAACATTGTCTGAAAACGTGGAACAGTAATCAATATTTTTTGTAACATGGCATTTTTAAAAAATATATATGGTTTTAGTTTCTTCAGGGAAAAGTTAATTTCATTTCACCTGACTGAGATTTTTTTTGAAGCAAAAGGTAGACTAAATCAAAAAAGTCCTGCTCAAGAAAATAGCTAGGAAATCACAATGTTTCAACAAAGACAGACATTTTCACTACTCTCCAGGAAAAAAAGTAACATGGGTAGTAATTTTAAAAAGACATTTTTTTTTTCTGAGAGAGGGATTTTTAAATCACAAAGCTGTGGCCAGCTCTTGAACTGCAGCAGGATTGGGCAGGACCTTAAGCAGCTGAGCTCATGCAAAAGGTTCTATAGAGAACATAAATACAGAACGTGGTTATTTTTTTTCCCTGAGGAATTAGCAACTCTTTAAAACACACCAAAGGGCAGGCTGGAATACACACTTCACAGACTCCATGAACATTACGGTATGGAGAAGAAAATCTGTAATATCACAATAACAAAGGGTCTTTACATGTCACAAGGAGTCTATCCAAGGCTGTCTCATTTTCTTCTTTCCATCATCATTCCTCTTTTTAACCCTGAAAAATTATCGGCAGAATATCAGCATTTCTCTGCCTCTTGTCCTCCATACATGTACACAGAGCTATTTTACATGATATTTTACAGGCGAGCATGCCAGCCTCTGTCTCATTCTGCCAACACTTTTTTCCAGGCAGCTATGTCCAAAAAGTGAAAACCACACAGAACATCACCTTGAGAGACACAAATAACTACGACAAACATGACCACAAAACAGTTCTGCTGCCTTTGTCATCGTTGAAACAAGTACTCTCAGCGTCTGATGTTCAATTCTTCTGTCATTCAGCAATAAGTTGCTCAAGAATTCGGGACACGTGGCAAAATATCGAACCCAAACAAAAAGAATTTGGTTGTGTTCTACTGGATCCATCAGTTGCTCTATCATGGTGTTGGAGGTGGTTTGGGAGAGGGGCATGAACCTTGACTGTCAAAGCTGGCTGCTCGGCCATGCCACTGAGGAAAGAAAGCAGAGATAAAGTTATTGAACAGAATCAGAAACAGTGCATAAAAATGTGCTAGGAACTCAGTTCATAGTCCCATATATTCTCATGTACAAGATGGAACTCTTGCACACATAGACAGTCCCATTCATTTACATGGAAGGAGAATGAACATTATTTGGGCACCCCCTCCTCATGCTGAGTGTTGCAGTGTCCACTCATATGCCACCACACCATGTAGGATTGCAAAGGTGCCAAAAAACTTTTGGTTTGGATTGATTTTGTTTGGTGCTCAGTCAGGCTAACGTAGCTGCCTCTCTGAAAATGGATCCTTTAATATTGAGTATCTCAACAATGTACCTAAACAACAAATGCAATGCAGTGCAACAAAAGGCTAGTGCTTCTCAAGTGTTTGGATACAAAACTCTGGTATGTCTGTAGCATAGCACCTTGAGAATATATCAGTATTATCGTCCGGTTTCTGAAAATAAAAAACTGAAATGGTGGATTTAAGATAGGGTGGAAACTGCCTGTGCCAGGGCTAATGACACCTTTTTTTGGTTCAACCTTTCCCTTGTTTTTCATTTTCTTAGTTAACTTGGTTGAAATATAATGATGTCAACATAACAACAAGAAGTGGGTCCAGAGCCAAAAATTGGAGAGAATTGTAGATGTGTCTTTTATTCTATCTGATACATAAAGAGAAAAGATAACTGTGCATCCAAGTATTTTTCTTCTCCACTTTGGGCAATGTTCCTGTCATCAGATTTAGACTCTTTCAATACAATGGGCCAGGGTACAGCAGAGCAGGAGTAAATAATAACAGTAACCCAAGATATGGTCAGTGAGGATGCCCCCTAGTTAAAGGGGACATGGCATGGGAATATATCTGAAATACATGGAGATCTGAATTTAGCTATGGGCCACCTGTTCCTCTTCCCTGGCGTTCAGAAGGGCAGCATTTAGTTGATAATCAATTCAAACTAAGCAGCAAAAGGAGCAATTTTAGTACAACTATATATAGGGATGCTGACACCATATTTGATGTATCCGCTGTCATCATCATAACCAGCATCACTTTCCTTATATTTAATACGTTTATTTAAAAAAATAAATAGAAAAAATAAAAACTCAAAGAAGTCTCTGTTTGTGCACTCAGTGAGAAGGAGACAAAAACATGCATGAGAGTTAAGAAGTAAGAACAGAATCCTATTGTATCCAATTGCATAAAGGGAACCATGCAGGTGATTCTCCCTGGTTTGCAGGCCATTTTTTGTGTTTTCCTCCATGCAGCAGATGATCAAATGATCACAGAACTAGTCGCACAACAGGCAACAAATAAAACCAATTGACCAATTGCCATTAATGCACACATTTTCCCTCAACCAGCTTTATGCCAAATAAAGAGAGAGTCTGGGCCACTGATGAGAAGAATAACATAATTGTGGGGTGGGGTGGGGGAGATTTTTCCAATAAGAGTGGGAAAGAGATGTTTTTAAAATGTTATTAACAAGAAGTGAGAGAAATAGCCAAGTGAAAGGTGGAAAGAATTCTTGGTGCAGCAAGAGAGACAGGAAACAACACAAGGGGAGCGGGCGAGCACAAGAAATATGAGATATAACAAATTAATAGTAGAAGGACAAAGGGCATAAAGAGGTCAGTACAGAAAAATCAATGCCCAGATATGAGGCCGTCCAGGTATTGCAGTTAGCAAACCAAGTCTGCTTAGTGGAAAAATGTGCAACACAAAAAGATAAACAAATTAGTAGAGTGAGTAAGAATGGAATGTGGGCCAGGGGTCTCTGCTCACTTCTGAACACTACCATTCAACATAGATGTTGTCATGTTTGGGAGGCTTTGGAAAAAACCGACATGGAATGTCAAGGACAGAGCTGAAAGTAAATATATCAAAATATATCAGAATTCATATTTAGACTCAAAACACTGAAATCAAAATCTGACTGAAAAGGTTATAAAAGTATAAAAGACAAAATAGTCTTTTGAATGTTGACTTTTTGTCTAGGTGTTATTTTTCAGTTTTTAAACTGCCCCTTTCAAACATTGCACACATTTCAGCAAATGTTTCTAATTTGTTATATGTGTTTGTTCAAACATTCAATCAAATATGAAAGTGATTATGTTTTGTTTTTTGACGTGCCATCCAGTTATTTCAAACTTAGGTTGAGCCTATGAATTAAAGTTCTTCAACGGTCAAATCATTAGCAGTAGGGATGGTTATTGGTGCAATCCGATGAATTAATGTTCTTCAACGGTCAAATCATTAGCAGCCCTGATTAGTACTTGGAAACTGAAGGCTGGATATTCGTTTACCAGATCAATCTATCTCATATCCAGTCACTGCTGTTGTCTATGAAAGATCCCTCACCATTGTCATCTTCCATTTCTGCTGCTGCTCATTAGCTGCCATTCAAGAATTTATCTGCCCCTTCTACCCAATAAATTGTCTTCTGCTGATATGACTCTTCCTGAAGAGCAGGAATAGTTAGTATGGTGTCTCATATTTGACCATTTTGCCTTGGGTGACCCTGTTAGGATTTTGGACTCAGACCCATTTCTAGCCTTCGGATGCTATAGATCAGAGGTCCCCAACCCCTGATGGCCTGAGCCGGACCTGGCCACCGAGACAGTCTTCCCACCCCCCGCATGCACTCACCCCCGCACAGCCCATTTGCGGCTGCCTGTGTGCTCCAGCATGCCCATACGAGTGCAGCGCCGCTCTTTGTGCATGCACACAAGTGTGCGCACCTATGCAAGAGCAATCATGCACTTGTTCACACATGCACATAGGGGGTGCCCTGCCTTCCCCAGCCGGTCCGTGGGCTGAAAAAGGTTGGCAGTGCCCTGCCTTCCCCAGCTGGTCCGTGGGCTGAAAAAGGTTGGCGACCGCTGCTGTAGATCACAGCTTTCTCTTCACAATGTTAAGGCATGCATCCAAGAGAAGAGAAAATTATTACTTTACTTTAAATTATTATACTACTGCATGCTAAATATGCAAACATTGCAGTGAAATATCAAATATAATTAGATCAACATTTCAATATTTACAGAGTTGTTCAAGTTCTATTAAAGATTTTTTAAAAAAAATTACAAGAGAAGATGCAGGGGGGGAAGAGAACAGAATCATAAAAGGGAATGATTTTTCTCTATATGTCCATCAAATGTAATATGGTCCAATAAATTGGCACTTCATGCAGAGAGGAGTTGATTGAAATGTTAGAAAGAAAGGGCCGAGCAATGAGAACTGTCCAGGGAGTTATGCATTTTCTCTCTTAGTAGTTTTTGGGAAAACATTGTAGAATACATAGTATTCTAAGTGCTAGAATTTTAGAAGATTGAAAGGACTATGCTTCAAAATACCAGTTATTATCTATTATTTATATTATTATTATTATTATTGCTTAAGGGAAATTTGTTTCATATTATCTGGGGAAAAACTGCCAGTGCAGTTTCTTTGTTCTGAAAATTATTCTTCTCTATTGCTGGGTTTGTGATCACCAGCAACATCATGAAAAATAAGTACTATAACCAATCACATCAAGGTTCTTCATCTTAGGACACAACTAGAATTTAGAGTGGTCTGGGTCATGTTTAAATGCTCTTATTTTTTGGTACAATCTATTTTATTGAGCGACCCTTCCATTCATACAGGATATGTTTCTTATCCTGTGAGAAGAATCCAGACATCACTTCATATTGCTCCAATTTCTTCCCCTTTTGATTACTGATACCCCTCCCCATCGCCTTTCCCTGCCTTTTGTTGTGGCTTTCATTCCATTGCCTTGATAACTTTGCTTTTTAAAATTAATTTAGTAAGTGGCATAGCACTACAGCAATGCAATCAACCTAGCATAGACACAGTCCCTTATATCTGTAATAGCACTGTTTCATTTTGGAGAATATCTTTAAAAATTGTGAGAAGAGGAAAATAGAGAGGGCTTCTTGGCTCTCCTTTCTAATGTCACAACCCACTGCATAGACTGAAAGGTTGTCCACAGAGAGAATGCTGCCTCGCAAATTCGCCCAGGTCTGTATTAGAAAGCATCATAATTATACCAATGGGAATGAATTAAGCAACCACACAGACTGCAGAATGGAATAATCAGGAGCACTCTCAATCATACCAAATAAACTGAAGCCCTAGCACTGTGCCAGAAAGGAGTGGAGCAGCTCACAAGAGGGTTGGGATGGGTCACTTTTCCTTAAAACAAATGTGGTTGTTGGAAAACAGGGTGAACCAAACCATACCAGAAGCAAAGAAAATAGCAAGCTAGATGCTCATTTGATCATAGATGCTCATTTGATCACCCCCCTTAATTTAGAAAAAAAATCTGCCGTTATTTTGGCATCTGTGCTGCTTGTTATCCATTTTAGTGTGTGTGTGTGTGTGTGTGTGTGTGTGTGTGTGTGTGTGTGTGTGTGTGTTGAACTAAATCCAAGCATTCTGAAAATTTGCTAATGCAGTTCAGTAAGATTCACCACTGAGTGAAGAAGTCATTATTATTCAATGTGAATATCAGATCAAAGTTGAAATGAAAAGCATAGTATAGCTCACAAAATAAATGTAGTTTTGGCACTCAAGATATTACTACTAATATCTCCTGAAGCTAAGCTGTATAATTTCAAACATGTTTTAGTCTGAATACTTGCCTGCTGATCTCTAGTCCTGTGTTATTATGCAAGAAATTATGAAGCTAGTTATTTTTGCAAATGGCTGTAGATGATAGAAATTGCTCACAGTGGTACAACTGTGGTTCTTTCTAATGCAGGGTCAGATACTTCAAAGATGTGTTCATTAACCTTTAGTAAACCAACCTTGCATCTGAATATTGACATTTACCATTTCTCTCGCGTCTCATGCAAATGACAGAAAATGTATAAAAGAATATACCCTGCCCTAGAGAAAATGAGTAAAGCAGCAATAAGAACTATGAATATCTTTTAAGACTTCACTTAAAAATGTAAAATCTAAACACAATGGCTTGGATGTGTTGC